AGCCTATCCCATTGAGTATGTTACTTTAAGATGTGCATGGACAATTTAAATGCAGTTCTTGTCTGCCAGAGAACAGAAATTTTGTTTCTTCCTAGTCTTTTATATTCTGTGATATTCTTTCCCAAGAAAAGCGGGCAGCATTCAGATTGGATCACCCTGTGGCCCTTTCACCTCTAAGATCCTCAGTAAGGCATGTGACAGACTGTGTCCTTGGGCAAGCCCAGTGCGCCTGTGATCTGGCCATCACAACAGGACCTGGAGTTCTTAGTGTCTAGTTGAGCTGGTGGAAAGTTTGGGCCTTGGAGAGAAGTCTCTTAGGTGTGAGCCAAAGGATCTATTTTACCAAAGAAAACATTGTTTGGCGTCTCCAATAGTAACGCTGGTCACAGTGATGTTTATGCCTCTAAGGATGACTGCTGTTCCCATGCACACTACCTTCCCCCCAGTATAGCTGTGTGTGCCCCCCCCCACTCTGTGCACGTGCTTGTGGAAAGCAGGGTTTTCGTATTCTGTACCATTTCTAGTCCATTGCTTTTCATCCCAGACACGTGGAAACTATGGCCCAACAAGGATAATGGAAGGCTCTGTCTAAAGCCAGAGGCCTTAGGTTTTACATGCCCATTGCTTTTCAGCATAGGTCACAGCCTGGCAGTAAAATCAGAAGGTGGGTGCCATAGATATTAAAACAAATGAAGACAATAATGTATCACTTATCATTAGAAGAATTACAAGAGTGTGTTTTTGTGTCCTTGTAATATGTATTTATGTGTAACTGCCAAACTTTGGACTCATTTGCTCTAGCCAAGTACTGGTTAATAATGTTCAGACTTGTCTAGGTTGCATCGTTCTTGAATGGGGGAGAGAGCTCACAAGCTGGGTCAGTGGGTAAAGGTGCTTGCTCTGCTAGCCTGGAGCCCGCATAAAGGCAGAAGGAGAGAACTGACCTCCAGAGTGGTCCTCTGACATCCGTACATGTCCACATATGCACAGGAGCATAATTATTGTTGTTATTATTATTAAATGGGGAGGGGGAGAGATTTCTGAACAAAAAGTCAGGCTTAATAAATTGCAAAATTTGAGCAGTGAAACATTATTGAGAGACTGGCTGGGAAAATTAGGACCCTTTAGGTCATTTGCTTATATTCTTGTATCTTTATTATGGATGGGTAGGGTTTCCAGAGGTTAGTGACAGCTTTGTGTCCTTCAACCCAGGTGGAATGCTACCAAATCATACTGATAACAGTACAGACACCTTGGGTTGGAGCCCTGGTGTGCTGTGACAGTCTTGGCTTGGTTATGTAACCCCTTTGTGGCTGTTTACTCATCCATAAAATGGAGCTCGTACTGCACACGTATGGAGAGGTTGCCCTGACTACGGACTGCAACCATGGACGCAGTGTTCAGCACCTCGCTCCCGTCTTCAGTAGTTAGCTCCAGGCCACTTTTGCCTCTGTGCCAGAGCCGCTCACATCAGCTAATATCAGATGCTTTCTTGAGGGCTCATAAGAACGTCTGGTCACTCCCCAGGGTTTGAAACAGTTTCAGTCAGGACATAACAGTTAGGAGATGCACTGCTCACACCTGTGTGTTAATCCCCGTAGTGGCCACATTGAGCAGCCTGTTTGCATTATGCAGGAGTTAGTAAGTGGGGACAAGTAGTTTAGTTTTTAAAAAGTGACCGTGTCTGCCCTATCTTCAATCCTCTGTGAAACTGTCATTTTTGCCTAGTCTCATGACCCTGTTACCACTTTCTGAACTATATAGTTGGGATGACTTTTGATTTATCTGTTCGACTTTTTCCTTTGGTGTTTGGAAGCAGGCTCTCGTTGTAGTTCTTAGGCTGGCCTTGTTCTAATGCTCTAAGTGCCAGGATTACAGGCATGCATCACTGCCTGGATAAAGGCTGGAGGATCCGCAGTCTCGTCTCTCTGGCCCCGTAACAAGTTTGAGACCAGGAAAGGTGGAAGAGAGTTCAAAGCATTAGTTATTGCTTGGCTCTCGGCCTTGTTTTCTGCTTCCCCTTGAAGAGCAGGGAAATAGCTTGTATCTTGTTTTTTCATGCATATAAGTCAATGTCTGAGAAACACTTTTTGATTGAATGTAAAGTCTGAAAATTTATCTAATACTTTTCATTGATATGTTTTCACTGTAGATACTGTTAGATTTTTAACTTTAGTTTCTGTGTACTTCTAGGTTTTTTTTTTTTTTTGTACTTCTAAATTTTATAAGTAGCTTTAGTAGTATACTTCCTCTCAGGATAAGCTTAAATTGTGTTTTATGTCTCTGAAAGAATGTCTTGTTGAGGATAAGCTATGCTTAGAGACTTTTATCAGCGGCAGGTAAACACGGGGTCATCTTCAGACCTGCATTTGAGACAGTGACAGACGGCAGTAGTCGCTTCTCCCCACTTGATGTTTAGAGTTTGTTTCTGTTGTTTGTTTAGTTCTCGAATACTCAGGCTTTGATTAAAGGTGCATCCTACCTTAGTTTTTGTAAATAGTGCTATTTTGAATATTCTGTACATACCGTCATGCATTGAGTCAAGTTTGTTATTACATTTATTTGTTTGTGTGGGTGGATGGGCCTGTGTGTAACAGTCACAAGTCAGCTTGTGTGAGCCCTGAGATGGCACTCAAGTTGTTTGGCTTGGTGGCAAAGCTACCATTGTGCTACGTCATTGGTCTAAAATGTCTTTTGATTGTCTGTCAAATTGCTGGTTACAAGTGTTCTGTAAAGTACAAGGGTAACCTATTGCACTATACTGTCACAACTATTGCATCTTAGGAAGTTTTTCTTTTTCCTTTCCTCTCTTCTTTTCTTTCCCTTTTTTTTTTTTCTTTTCTTTTCTTTTTTTTTTTTCTTTTTCATTCCCCTCACTCTAGATAGTGTTTCTCTATGTAACAGCCCTGGCTGTCCTGGACTCACTGCCTGCCTCTGCCTCACAAGTGCTAGGATTAGAGGTGTCCATCACCATGCCAACCCTAGAAAAAATTTTTCTTTAATTTTATTTGCTTGTCTGCACAGGGCACCTCTGTGTGGCCTTGGCTATTGTGGAATGCACTCTGTAGACCTTTACCTCCTGAGTGCTGGGATTAAAGGCATGTGCCAATCTGATAAAAGTATCTTGATGTTTTAATTGCTTTGATTATAAATGAGGTTGGACTTTCATATTATATTAATTATGTAATTTACCTTTTTATATTTATTGGGGGGCATGCACATGCGTGTAGACACCGTGCTTAACAAGGTGTGCCTGTGGAGGTCAAAGGACTTTGGGAGTCAGTCCTCCTACCCTGTGGGTCCTGGGGACTGAATTAGGTCTTCAGGTGGAGCTCATGGCTTGTGTATGCTATGCAAGCATTCTATCACTGAGCTGTGGCACCCAGTCCCCCCACCCCCAAAGAAAGGGTAGGGAGAGGAACTGAATGAGAGAGGACTGACTGGTCACTTAGTTAAGACCTTCAAGGTTGGAAGCCATCCAATGTCTTGTTCACTACTCAAGTACCCTCAGACATGCCAGTGGCCCCTCCTTGTGAAAGGCAGCAGTGACCCAGAACTAACCACACTCAAAGTAAGCTGTTATTGGAATCCAGGGAGGGTTACAGTGATACCAGTTGATGAGCTAAAGACAGCTTAATCATACCACGTTAGTCTTTAAACAGTTCCCTTCTCAAACCTTGTTCAGTGTGTTTGTGATTAGTGAAGTAGTACTAGGTTAGTGGTTGAAATACAACCACCATTCAGGGACTTGTTCAGTTTTGGATCTAGAGATTAGATCTATGATCATTAAATTAGTAAGTTGTTTTTTTTTTTTTTTAACATTGTTAAACTGTTCTTGTTTATCTTGAGTACTTTTGGTGCTTCAGATCATGTCAATTTAAAGATGGCTATCAGATGGCCACTGCCTTTTAGGGTTCAGGCAGCCAGTGGACGGATTTCAGCCCTTTGGTAAAAAAGAAGCTAAGACATACATACAGCAGGAGAAACATGGAGGATGGATTTTTGCAGCTCTTACTGTTTCTGTTCTGCTCTAGCATGGGAAAGTGTACTAGGAGAGATGCTAACTAAGACTTGAAGGAAGGATAATTAAGAGGTAACAGGAGTTGTAAGTAAGTTGTAAGGAAGACAACAGTGAAATGCACTTATACACAGTGTTTTCTTGAAATACTATGTTTTAGGCAGGGAATGACATATTGAGGTTAGAGAGAACAAAAACCCAATAATAGCTGAATGTGTTGACAAATGCCTGTTATTCCAGGACTCAGTAGCCTGGGGCAGGGGGATGGCAAGTTCAGGGACAGCTTGGGTCAAGGAAGTGAGACCCTATCTTAAAAACAAAAACCTACCAGATAACTATGCTAAACGTTAGGTATTTTAAAGATTAAGGGGAATCATTTGAAGTAACAGCAGGGTCAAATTATCATTTTAGAGATCACTGCCTAAGGATTGATGTAGAAGGGAAGACTGGAAGCAGGGAGGCATGTTAGGAAACATTTGGGGATTATCTAGGTGAGAAAATTAGGGCCTAGGCTCGGAAGCAGCTTATTGGGAAAACAGTTGTCACATTTTTTTAAAGTGTTAATTAGGCATTCTATTCTCCAGAATCCCATTGAGATTGAGTTTCATGGAATTTGGTTTATTATTTTGCAGAAGTAACTTGTTTTAATTATCTTGTTTTTACTTGTGCTGGCCCACACTGTAGTCTCCACTGGGAAGCAGAGGCAGGAGGACTGTGTTCTAGGCCAGCCTGTGCTACACAGGAAGACTCAACAGCCTTTATAAACAGTTGGGCAGATAAGGCTATGCTTTGTGGACAGGCTAGAGGTTTGGTTACTGTAAATACTGCAGATGTTTCACTTCGGAGTGCTTAGTGTTTATTCTAGAGGGAAAGAATATTGGATATTTGCCTTTGGAAAAGTGTCTTGGTAGATTGCATTTGTTATGATCTCTTACAGGAATTTATACTTTCTATATGCTAATTTCTTTTTTTTCCCCTAAAGGTTATTAGCAAAAGATGGTGGATCGCCTGGCAAACAGTGAAGCAAATACTAGACGCATAAGTATCGTGGAGAACTGTTTTGGAGCAGCTGGTCAGCCCTTGACCATCCCTGGACGGGTGCTTATTGGAGAAGGAGTATTGACTAAGCTGTGCAGAAAGAAGCCTAAAGCAAGGCAGTTTTTCCTTTTTAATGATATTCTGGTATATGGCAATATTGTTATCCAGAAGAAAAAATATAACAAACAGCATATTATTCCTTTGGAAAATGTCACCATTGATTCCATCAAAGATGAAGGGGAATTACGGAATGGATGGCTTATTAAGACACCGACTAAATCATTTGCAGTTTATGCTGCCACTGCCACTGAGAAGTCAGAGTGGATGAATCACATTAATAAGTGTGTCACTGATTTGCTCTCCAAAAGTGGGAAGACGCCTAGTAATGAACACGCTGCTGTCTGGGTCCCTGACTCTGAGGCCACCGTGTGTATGCGCTGTCAGAAGGCAAAGTTTACACCAGTTAATCGGCGGCACCATTGCCGCAAATGTGGTTTTGTTGTTTGTGGTCCCTGCTCGGAAAAGAGGTTTCTGCTTCCCAGCCAGTCTTCTAAGCCTGTGCGCATTTGTGACTTCTGCTATGACCTGCTTTCCTCTGCAGACATGGCTGCCTGCCAGCCAGCCAGATCAGACTCTTACAGTCAGTCGTTGAAGTCTCCTTTAAATGACGTGTCTGATGATGACGACGACGATGATAGCAGTGACTGAGGACGTGTGTTGAAATATTTAATTGGGTGTGACTACCTGCGAATCAGCTTTGGGTGAAGTGTAAAATCAGGCTCTCAGTTTTGCTCTAGCCATGACTGCCTGAAGAGAGTTCAACCTCTGTGCCTCTGTATCCTGTAGAATGTAGCCTCTCTGCTTTCTGCTCTCTGCTCTTTCAAAGGGACAAACTGTTGCAGGTATACCGATAGGGGCTTGGCTTTCTATTCTCCTTATTTCTAGATTATTTTCTTGTAAGTTGGAAAAGATGTTTATTTAACAAATCTTTTACTACATTTTTCCCCCGATATGGAAAGACTAAAAGCATAGAATGATGGGAACAAGAGTATAAAGTGATTAATAGTATTAGTGGCTTTTCTCCAAGCATTCTATATAATGTTTAAGAGACCAGTGACAGCATGGTTTGGAAATTCTTTACTCCTCTCTTCTGAATACCAAGTGGTGCCTTACTGTGGCAGCATTGTCACGTGAAGTAAACAAACACAAGTCCTACCTTCTTACTTCCTTGATTTAAAACACGCTGGTGCTCTTATAGGTGGTAATTGGGTAATTGATGGATGTAGTTAAGAATATTTATTTGACAGCTACAAGGAACTAAATTTAGAGGTCTCTTCACTCTTAGATGAATACATATTTTTCATAAAATAGTTGTAAATATATTTTTACATCTTCTAGGCACCAAATTATAATGGTCACATGTATGTTTAAAATTAACCAGTTGCTACTCTTGGAAATTTGATTTGAAAGTCATCACTAGTCTAGAAGTGGCATAGTCCATTAGCTTCTACTTTCCTAAGACATTTTTTACATATAAATGTTTTTGCTTTACAGTATTTCTAGAAGGAAAAATCTCTTGAAATCCTTGTTTCTTGACATGGGGTTTCTCTGTGTAACCTATGCTGTCCTGGAACTTGCTCTGTAGACCAGGCTGGTCTTGAACTCACAGAAATCCATCTGCCTCTGTCTCCCCAGTGCCGGGATTAAAGGCCTGTGCCACTACCACTCAGCATAGTCGAACATGGAGTCTTACAGATCTGAAGAGATCAAAGTTTGACTAGACTCCCTGTCTGCAAGCATTGTGAGGTTTATTGTGAAATTATCTTGATTTCCATGTGTGTTGTATTTTCTGGAGTTTGTAAAGCTCCAAACAATTTCTATTTTTATAAAATTACTGTATGTTTAGTCTGTCTCAGAAGTCATTTTGCAACATATGGAAGAGTAGCAGTTGATATTTCTAAATTGTGACCATGAGCCAAAATTGCTTTGAGAAGTGCTAGTTTTTCTTTGTGTTTGGAGGCAGCCGTTATGTTGAAGGCCCATTCACTGCATAGCACTGGACGCGCTGTGCACATTCTGGCCATTGGTGTGCTGCACTAACCAGGTTTTCAGATGTGGGGAACCAGCAGGCTAAAAGTCGTCATTTATTTTTTTTCAGAGCTCACTCCTCCTCCCCCTCTGTCTCTGTCTCTGTTTCTCTCCCCTCTGCCCCTCCCTCCCTCTCTCCTTCCCTTTTCAGATTTTCTACATATGTCCTGGGGTTTGATTCAGTAACTTGTAGATGGAAGATTCATTGGTGTTTCACTATGTGGTTACAGTACTAATTTTTCTTTGCTGTTCAGTTTTGAAAGTACATGAGCTATATAGGCCTCCCTATAGGAAATTGAAAGAAAAGCACAATAGGACTAGGACTTGAGGGATTTTTGTCCCTGTTTTTGTTTGTTTGTTTGTTTTGGTTGGTTTTACTGTTAGATGGATTTTTGTTTGTTTCAAAGCCACATATACATGTAGTCAAGAGCATGAATGAAAAGGACCATAAAAATCAGAAGTGCTGATGGAAGCCTGCTGTACACAGGAGTCTAGCAAAGTCAGGACCCGAGGGGAACTGTCCTGAGAACATTTGCGTTGTCAACCTCTATTGATTGTTTTTACAATAAACATATTTTTCAGCTTACTTCCTGTGGTTTTTGTTTGTTTTTTGGTATGTGTCTGTTTATGCCATTTGTATGTAAGTGTAAGGCCTGAAAAGGGCATTGACACGAGTTACAGGCATTTGTAGGCTGCCAAATACAAGGTGCTGGGGACTGAACGTGGGTCATCTGGAACCCAAGCAAGCACTTCAGCCCCCTACCTTAATTTTTTTTCATAGTACTTTCCGTAATGTCTGTACTAATTGACATTCCTACTCAGTTTCCTTTTCTCCACACCTTTGCCAGCACTTGTTTTGTTTTGTTCTGATTTTCATCTTTATAGTAGCCATTCTGGCGGGTGAGTTCTTTGTGATAAGTGGCACTGAACATTTTAAATATACCTGCTGACGTTTTGTATGTTTTCAGATAAATGTCTGCAGTTCTTTCTAGTAGTAACTGGGCAGAAAGGCCAAATGATATAATGCAGTTCTTGCTAGCACTAGCGTTGTCTTAGGTATATAGGTATATTCTAGAAGGTTTCTGTCCTCTAAGCCTACCTGCTACACATTCAGAAGTGTAATTTACCCACTGACTGGAAGGGAAAGCTCATGCCATAGATACGCTGGTGTTTTATTTGCCTGAGAATCCTAATGAAGTCTAATGCATCTTTATTCCCCTAGAAGATGGTCACTGACTCCCTCTTTGCAAGTCCTGGGGTGGGGGAGAGCTGTGTTCTTGGATCAATAACTGGAAGTCGTTAGAAAACACAGGAGAAAAAATCTTGGTGACCATGGATTAAGTCACCAAAATGTTCCATTAAGTTCCAAAATGATGACAGAAGAAAAAGATGGATTGAAAAAAATGTGAAAAAAAAGAGAAAATATTTACAAATTGTGTGTTTGATAAGGTTTTATAACGAGTTCTGGGCTTGAGTCCGAGCCTGGATGTAGGTCCGGTCAGGACGGCGAGTTGGAAACCAGCCAAGCTTCTGTCTCAAAAATAAAAAACCAAAATACCTAATTTTAAAATAGGTAAAGGATAGCCCAAGCTAACCCCCAAACTTGCTCTGTAGCCGAAGGACAGGAGTTTGGTGCTCAGCACCTACATCAGGTACCCCACAACGGCCTCAAACAGGCTTGAGGGGACCCGTTCCCCTATTCTGGCCTCCAAAGGGCAGCCAAACACACATGACACGCTCTCTCTCTTTTTAAGATACTTAAACAATTTGATCACTGCTGGCTGGTTTGATGTCAAGATGATACAAATTAGAGTTACCAGAGTAGAGGAGGTTTCAGTTGAGAAATTGCCTCTGTAAGACTGGATTGCGGGAGCGGTGCTGGCGGTGATGGTGCACACCTTTAATCCCAGTGCCCAGGAGGCAGAGACAAATGGATCTCTGTGAGTCGATGCCAGCCTGGTCTACAGAGTAAGTTCCAGGACAGCCAAGGTTACACAAGGAAATCCTGTCCCAGGAAAACAACATCCACAAAAGGTTGGGTTACAGGTGAGCCTCATTTTCTTTCTTTTTTTTTTTTTTTCTTTTCTTTTTTGAACTTTTAATTTTTTTATTCACTCTACAGCCTCAATCTCAACCCCTCTCCCTCCTCTCCTCCCAGTTCCACCCTCACACCCCTCCCCATCCTCCCACCCCTTTATCCTAAGAGGAGGGGAGGCCCCCATGGGTACCAACCCACCCTAGCACATCAAGTCCCAGCACATCCCCTCTCACTGAGGCCAGACAACGCAGTCCAGCAAAGGCAGGCAGCAGTCATAGACAGCCCCTGCTCTAGTGGTTAGGGGACCCACATGAAGAACAAGCTTCCCATCTGCTAGCTATGTATAGGGGGCCTAAGTCCAGCCAATGCTTTTGATGAACTGTTAGATGGAACTGTGACTGAAATAAACCCTTTCCGGCCCAAGTTGATGATAACATGATGCTTCAGCAGCAGTAACTCTAACCAAGACAATCTCCCTGTATGTAAACTGTTCGCTCATCATCACATTTGTCCTCTCTTAGCTCTGCCCTGACCCTCTGAGTACCCCAAACCCTTCCTCAAACAGATCTCCCTTCACCTGTTGGAGGTTGGTCTGATGGGTGTCACTGCCACTCAAGATCTGAGTACACCTATCCTTGTGTAAACCTACCTGATTGGCTGATTAGATGGCCTATAGCTGGGCAGGGCAGAGTGGGGTAGGCGTGGTTAAGGGTCCCAGGCCTTTGAGGACAGAATCCCAGGAGAAACGCAGACAGGATGCCTTGGAGAAGGAGGCACGTGGCTGGGAGGAAGGACTCCAGGGATGGTGTGAATGGAAAGAACACCTACGTGAAAAATATAAGCAGGTATATTGGGACTGTGGATGAAACGTAGACCAGATGAGAATGATTAAGGCGGATGTGTTAGATGGGGACGGGGAGATGAATGGTGAGGTTGAGACCACATAGGTAGAAATACCTGCCCGGCCCAAGGTAATAAGGCAATTATAAAATCTAACCGGTGCCTGTGTCTTATTATTTATGATAGCAGGTTAAATAATAACGCCACAATAATCATAGGGCAAATAATAATAATATATAGCCCAGCACTTATTATTATTTTTTTTTTACAACAACAAGCGCCCTGACATACTTCTCAGGCTCTCAACGCCCACTTGACTTTGTTCACCAAGCTGCTCCTACCGTTCATCTCCCCCACACCCTTACCTCACGTGGGGTTGATCTTCCTCTGCTCTGTTGGCATCCTATACACTCTGGCCCTTGGCGCTTCCTTCTGCATGTCGCTTGAGTTTGAGCTCTCAAACTCTGCCCTTGGGCTGCCGAGACTATTCGACACTATTCGGAGGGCAGGCTTGGTCTCAGATTTCTCTCACCAGTTAACCCCATCCTGCCTCACTTCCTGTTCTTGAAGATTCTCACCCTGAGCTTTGACACCGGATCCTGGGCCTCTCCCTTGTGTAGATCTCCTCACCCCATCTTGGATTTGTAACTGCCACACCGCTCAGTTTGGGGAGGCTCTCTTATGCTGTTAACTCTCAACTCGTGACAGGCTGCTCCCTGCTCTTCCCTCCCCTCTGGATTATGATTCCTGCCCCAGGCTGAGAAAGAAGGGAGACAGGGAAGGATGGAGGGGGAGAGGAAAGAGAAAAGGAAGGAGTGAAGGAAAAGGGAAAATGGAGGAAGGAAGGAAGGAAAGCAAAAGCAAAATATGCTTTCCAAGAGAAACTGTACAAACAAGACAGATGTCACTATACCTCTCACACTATGCTGGCTAGAGAGCATGGGACAGACAAGCTGAGGCTGGCCTCTCAGCAGTTCTGATGCCCCCGCAGAGGAGGATTTGAAAGTCACTGCCTCACATCAAGTCCCTTGACCCAGTTTGCCACAGCACCCAGTTGCTTGCCTCCTTGCATTAACCTGAGTGCTCTCCAGCCATCCAAAGGTGTCTGGTTATCTTTGGAGAGTTAGTTTAGCGTCTAAGTAAGTCACAAGTCAGTGTCACCGAGGTGTGACCCTGACCTGGAGTAGTGTAAGGAGACTTAGGACCTCAGTTTGAATAAGGAATTCCTGAACGGACTTGATTGGACTTTTAACAGAGTTTTGGTGAAAGGAACCGATGGTAATGGCTTTGAAGCACCCACGTGTCCAGAAAACATTTGAAAATTCATATTGATATGAAATTAAGTGACCACAGACAAATTTTGCCCTCCAGAAGTGTGTCACGGTACAGCTGATCAAGAACGACAAGAAGATCACAACGTTGGTGCCCAATGACAGCTGTTTGGCTTTAACCCCTGCTTTTCCCAGCATAATTCCCTCTGCATGAGAGGCACCTCCGAAAGGACTGGCCTTCAGGGCTGTGCCCAAGTGGGCTTTCTTGTATTGTTTATCACGCCGCTTCTGGTCCTGGCAGATAGAACTTGTTTTTAAAGCCACTTACTTTTTGATATTGTGATATGACAGCCATAGTGAACTAATTCAGGGATCAAAGGGGGAAAAAGTGAAGCCCCTTTTAAAAATATGTTTTGAGATTATAATTACATTTCCCAAACTCTTAAATAAAAGCATGACAATCATTATATGCAGTTTTGTTTGTGTTTGAGGAAACATACCAAATAAGATAGTTCAGAAAAAAAAGTCCATAAATAGGAACTGGTTTATACATTATAGAATACAAAGGGAATATTGCTTATTAAATTACAATAATTATACAGAACAGGGTACCATTTGGAGACAGAAAAGGCAGAATAAACTACCAGAAGAAGGAAAAATACTTTTTGTTTTGGTTTATTTGAGACAGGCTTTCTTTGTGTAGCTTTGGTTGTCCTGCGCTCACTTTGTAGACCATGCTGGCCATGAACTTACAAAGATCCACCTGCCTCCCAGAGTGCTGGGATTACAGGTGTGCACCACCATGCTCAGCTTCAGGAAAAACACTTAAATATATCTGCACACACATAGATATCTTTGAGCCGGGCATGTTGGCGCATGCCTGTAAAGTCAGCATTCTGGGAGGCAGAGGCAAGCAGATCACTGTGAGTTGGAAGCTAGATGTGTCTACAAAGCAAGTCCAGGACAGCCAAGGCTACACAGGGAAAGCCTGCTGTGAAGAAAAAAAAAAAAAAACCCAAAAAACTATATATATATGTATTTGAATTTTTTATTATCTTGAAAACCAGTTTTACCTTTAACTTGATAGTGTTTATTTTGAGGCTTAATGACATTCATTGGTTTTTAAAGCATTCTTTAGTTATTTAAAATGTTTTATTTGGTTATTTTTGAGAGTGTCTAACTATGCAGTGTAGCTTGGTCCTGAATTCATGATCCTGCTACATCAGCACCGATTGCTCAGTTACAAAGTTACAAGCCTCTGCCACCACGCCTGACTTTAAGGGAGATAGTTTACATATTTTTATTCATTTAATACTTATATTTATGTGTTTGGTCATTTGGCCTACATGAGTGTCTGTGTACCATGCCCATGCAGTGCCCATGGTGGCCAGAAGAAGGTGTTGGGACTGGAGTTACAGATGGTTTTGAGTCACTGTG